CGAAGTAATTTAATTTATGTTTGGATAATATGATTTTTTCTAAAGATAATAATTAAATATTATTTTAGAACTCAATAATTATTTTAATTATGTTTTAGATTTTTTATATTTAAAATGAATATTTATCATGTATTTGTTTATGTTTAACTGCAGTTAGTTATACGAATTCAAAAATGAAGCTTTAATAAATTATATTTACGCGAAATTATTTGTAATATTGAATTTTAAGTAATATGCATCAATAAATAGTACTTTATGCATAAAAATGACTTTTAAGAGTTGTTGTCAAATGTTTTATAATAGTATTGATTAAAGTAAAGTACAAATTTGTTCTCGGTGGTTTGTCAAAAAATTAACATTTTTTTGTTTCTACAGTTTTGATATTACAAGATGGCTATTATGGTCAGTCAAAACATTCAGATTTATATAATATTTAATATTTATATACAACAAATAAACTCACACATTCTCCTCACTTGTGGTGAAGTTTGAATTCCTAACCTTCTAGGAGTCCAAAGACTACAAAAAAAAGACAGAAAAATCATTAATTTTTTTAGTTACATGAAAAGCATTATCATCTTTTTATTGATTTTTCTTCTCTTTTACTAAATTCGGAATTATAGAACCAAAATCATAAAATCGATTTGGATCAAGTAAAAGGCAGAAAAATCGATAAAATGACGAAAATGTCTCTCATTGAACGAAATCTTTAATGGTCGTTCGAGGAAAGGACCAAATCTGGATGTTTTCTAAAAACACAATGGTTATCTTGCAATTTTGAAACTATAAGGACGGAAAATGATATTTTCGACAAACCATAGGGATCAAATTTGTAGTTTACTTATTTTTATTTAGTTCAAATTGCATGTAACGTAGTGTAATTTGATTCCTATTTTGAATAAGATACTTTCAAAATTTCCATTTTGGTACTTAAGATGTAAAGTTTTAGATATTTAAGTACTCGGGTAACCGATTGAAGACTAATTTTAGATTAAAAAAATCTATGCCACTAACCACGTCAGCAAATAATACTGAGTTGGATACAATATCAGCATTATAACCGGTTAATGCTTCAACCAGTTACCCGAATACTTAAATGTTTAAAACTTTACATCTTAGATTCCAGAATGAAAGTTTTAAAAGTACGTAACCCAAAATAGGAATCGAGTTAAAATACATTATTTATTCATGCAATTTGCCCATTTATTTATTATTTGTTGAGGTTATTGTTGTTATTATTGTTATTGTTATCATTATCTCATTATTATTTGTACCGTTATGGTCGTTGTTATTATTATTATTATGTAATTTAATAAGGGAAATTTCGAAAATTATGCTTAACGTTGTTCTAAATATGAAAAATATCTTCCATACCGACACCTTTCATAAAACATGTTTAATTTTTAAATTCTTTCTAAAATACTCGTTAAAACTGTTTTTGTTTGTTTCAAGGTATGCTGAATCTGGCTGATTTGTACTTCCGTCACTATTTTTCGTCATGGTCTTGATGTCGTTGATAGGTTCCCAAACATTTCAATATTTTTAAGACAACCCGCATGCCACAGTTTACTTGTGTATTTGTTTTCTCAATGGTCTTCCGTCGTCTACGTCTTAAAAACTTTATGTCACATAATTAATCGAAAGGTAAGTTATCTCTAAAGGCTAACCCGATCTTAACGGTTTCCATTGTGTCTTAATGGACGAGGTAAACGGTTTTTTCTGTAATATACATTTCTTAGTTGATGTATATCCGAAATCAATAAATAAAAAGGGTTGTTAGTAGTAGTCGTTTAAATCAAGTAATCGAGTTGAATTTTTCCCTGAAATCGTTATTACAATCTCGACGAACACCAAAGCTTTCAACATCTCCCCTCAAATCGTCAAAGTTTTCTATTTTGGGACAAAAATGATTGGATACTTATATAACATGACTTGAAATCACGTGAGAGCAGCATGTTTTCGTGAGACCACTTTTTACACTTGAAACTTCATAGCAAAACGTTGTGAAGATAACCTTCACAGTGTTTTTGCTGTGAAGGTTCCGCTTTTTTTTTATCTTCACAGCGTTTTGCTGTGAAGTTTTAAGTGTAAAAAAATGGTCTCATGAGTCTCATGGAAACAGGTTGGTCTCACGTGAACCCAACCCTAAATAACATATTACATCTTGTTAAGTTGACAACTCGGTTTTAGTTTGTCACTGGAGTAAATTACCATATCGTTTATTACCTCACTTATTATTTTCGTTCACAATTGAACTTTTTACCGTCTTACTGTTTTCAACTGGGGACCAGGTTGTTACCTATGCTTATTTTTAATGCTAACGTGGGTTTGGGATCATTCTTGTCTTTTACGTTTTAATAGAGGGAAGAGATTGAGTGTCGACTCAAAAGAAACTAGCTGATTGAAAAAGTATTTTCATGACATGTTCTGACACATTGGAGATTTGTCTGAAAAATTATATGTAATAATTTCAAAAAAAATTAATATATATATTTATTTA